GTTCTTGACTAGCTTTATACATAATAGATAGTAAAAATGTTAAAGTTTACGCCACTATTTTCAGTTTTTGCAACATTTTGATTAGTTTATCTGCTACATTTCTATATCCTGATCTGCCCGACCAGGTGACGTCGTTCATGATCCTGATCTGCCCGTGTCGAAAATAGTATAGTTTTCACACACTAACCCCCCAGCCTCTCTGATGCTCTCTCCTAGACTCCTCCCAATGACTGTAGTAGCAGTAGCACCATCATGTTTCTTTCATTGGCTGGAGCCTCTTACTGTTTTTACTGTTGCCACTTACTATAATATTCCTAAGTTCATCATCTAAAACTATACTATTCTTGTATAGAATATCTATGACATATGTTATTTATATAAGAATACTGATAAGATTTACTGTTTGATCAAATATTGAGCCATGTGTCCTTTTAATGTCATCCCCATTGTTTTTTTTTCATTTAAAACTTTTTGCAGGAGGTGTTGCATATTTGTTCTGACTAAGGATTAGCTTACATATAACCTAATTTTTTGAGTTGTTTGTTAATTTTTTATTGCTATTGTACATTTAAAAAAAAATAAATTGATTTTCATACTCGATTAGAAGCCCTTAGCTGTCATGAGTGAACATCGACGAAACTATTCAGAGCTCACATCTCGCCAGAAGCGTCGACGTAGACAAGAAGCCTTCTCCCTCAAACCTTTAAAGATGTCAAAACTACTAACAGAATCATCAATTACTGACCCAGATGATACTGCAGCATTAGACAAATGCATTCCAACAGGGGGAGAATTGGACATTCATATTGGCGAGGCATGGAAAAAAAGTGAACAATCAACACCAGATATTTTTGGAATGCACTCGACTATCTCAGAAGAAGAAAAAATACAAAAAGTTATTCTGGAGTGGTCTGTACAAGACAAAACTGTGTCTGATTCATCTATTGCTCGGCTTCTGAAAAAGTTTAGGGAATATTATCCCTCCATTCCTGCATGTCCTGCCACATTGAGGGGAAAATCATTTGCTCAAATCAGATACACTGCCATGAATAATGGTACTTATGCTCATTTTCCTGAGTGGCCTGAAAATATGTCTTCATATCTTGAATCTTCAGCATTCAAAGGAGAAGATGTTGAAATAATTTTGAATGTTGATGGTATTCCTCTTTTTCAGGATTCAAGACAGCATCATGCTTACCCAATTTTGGTGTTGCCTGTCTGGCAACCCAATAAAATTTTCGTTGCTGGCTTATATGTATCAGAAACTCCAGAAACCAATAAGATGCCACCGGTTAAGCAGTTCCTAGAACAATTTGCAGAAAATCTTGAATTACTTCTGAATGATGGCATAAATGTTGGTGGTGTGAAAGTAAATGTTTCACTGTCTGCCATAGTTTGTGACTCGCCTGCATGAGCCGAGCTGAAAGGAATTGTTGGGCACTCTGGATACAATAGTTGTGAGCGGTGTATTCAGAAAGGCAGGTATGTTAATGGTCGTGTTATATTGGAGAAAACTGATGCGCCTCTCAGGAACAATCAATCATTTATCAGAAAAGAAGATGCACCACACCATAAACTGAAAGTAAAGGAGTCTCCCTTCCCAAATAAAAATTAAGGGTGGAGCACCGATGATTATAGGTGGCGATAGTAGATTATAGGTAGCGTAACGGTGGGTGGCCAGATCTGCCAAAAATCGACAATAAAACATCAATAAATTGAAAGGGTGCCGAGTACAGGTGGGAGTCATCGATGAATCATTAATGATTTATAGGGTCTGAAAGATCTATAGCTCATTGCAGACAAATCTCTTGTGAGCCACCGATAACCGTTTGCCCAAACTGCACAGGGCACGAAGGTATTTGCCACTGTAATTTATCCAACGTAGAAAGGTGTTTTTGGGTTGCAGGTCATTCGAGATTAAGATTAAACCATGACTTGTGCTTGGCGTTCTGACGTTCGTTCGGCGTTCTGAGACGAAACGTTCTGTGTGTTTAGCATTTAAGATTAAGTTCTGTTAAGAAAATTTAGCGTGAATTCAGTAGGTACGAGTAAAACTGACAGATAGAAGCAAGGTGTTCACAAATTTTCCAAACCAAAGTGAAGCCACTGGGCATGTATCAGACTACTTCTGATATACAGTGGGGGGAAATAAATATTCGTACACTTGAAAAATCGTATTTAAATGTATGTAAGTACACAAACTTAACAGGAAAAGTGATTTAAATTATGTATAGAGACGCATAGTATTCAAAAATACTATTAAAAGAAATTAAATCTCAATGCAACAAAAAACAATGCAACATGTTCACTTTTCGGGGTGAAAAAAGTATTCGTACAAAACAATAAATCCGCATTATTTTA